TGACGACGACGACGACGACGACGACGACGACGACGACGACGACGATGATGATGATGATGATGATGATGATGATGATGATGATGATGATGATGATATGGTGGTGGTGGTGGTAGTAGTGGAGGTGATGGAGACTTAGCAAAAACTATTGGACTTTCCTAAAGAACGAATCTGATTAAAGCTTTCAGGGAAAAAAAAAGAATTCAAATCAGACCAATTCAGTTTCACCGTTGCTATTTTACGCGTTTTGCGTTTCCCAAAACGACAATGACAACAATGATGTTGATATAAAGTATTAATTTAATCTTACATTTCATTTAGATATAGATCTAGATATATAGCTGAAACGTATTGGCTACGTATAATACATACCTAAGTGATTGTGCAGCTTGCGGTGTGGGGTGCAAAAGGGAAATGATGCAACGAGCAATGCTTCGATAGGCTAGGTTCTATCAGAGACACTCTCTGTTCTATACCACCGACTTCGTGGTAATCTGGGGTTTTCCCGATTGTATTTGGCAAACTAGGCCGCTATCAAGTTTCTCTATCCGGGGTGGTGTATAAATGTCTGTCCTCGTAGGATTATTCAATTGTACGGCCGCCGTTTTTTTCACAAAATTAATTAACGCCTCGTCATGTGACTAAAGGGACATAATCACAATAATAACTCCCATTTCAGTGAAAAGTTGGCTATTTCCCTTGTTAGAAGATCTTGGTTATGGGTTGTGATTTTGTTCCTTGAGCATGTTCAATTTTTCAATCCATCAAAAGTTGTTGTTCTCATGTCCGCTGATATTTCATGTTTGACAGGTGTCCCTGGTTTTAGTAATGTGCCAGCGTCAGAGGTCCAGATGTCCTTTGAAAAATAAAAAAATAAAAAAACATTTTTCTTTCCTCTATAGAGTCTATAGATCTAGATCTACAGCTGAAAGTTACAGAGATTATTATTTTTGGTTGTTGTTTTTTTTTACCGATGTGTATTGTTTTCTTTTCCAAATACACAACAAATTACTGATAATGATATGTTCTGTTTTCAATTTTTCTGTACATAAACCATGAAAATCATGAAACTTTGTGTTGAAAAAGTGCAAAACATGTCGCGAATGGGGTTACGGTAACTTGCATAATTTTGCTTTTTTTGGGCATAATTTGGCCTTCTAAATTTGTATAATTCTACGGGGACAGATTGGTGTGTCAAGTGAGGCCAGAAAAGGAATCGGACAGAACTGGTCTCTTATCAAAGCAACAAAATTAAATATCCCCTTCTTCTTAGCACAGTGCACACTGGCCGTAGTGCCCGAGAAAGATTTGAGTACAATGGAATTCTTGGAATTGTCCAGCGTTGTAACAAAACCAAAGGTGGGAGTGGATGCAATGGAAAAAACGGTTAATGCTTTATACTGTCAAACGCAAGACAAGGAGAGAAGCATGCCAGTTTGTCACAGGCCCAGTTTGTCACAGACCTCGACTGTGCCCTGCATGATGGAAGTTATCACTGACACTCTCAAAAAGTGTAAATTAGTGATTGATTGATTGTATGAATTGAATTTTATTTATCAATTGTTTTTAACGAAAGAACATTCATTGTTGAAATTTTACTGAGTAATTTAAATTTGCCTTTATTTGCATACTAAAAGGAAGAAATATTGAACGACGGTGAGCAGTGCATACGGCTGTTTAGACTACGTACCTACCAGTAGCAGGTGTATGCTACG